CTAGGTTCGAGTCCCGGTCGGGGTAAAAAAATGATTCATGTTTTCACATATGTAATGTGCTATTTGATTATTTCATGGCCCAAATGAGATTGGGAATCGAATTAAATGCTAAAATGAAGCCACGAGTGAGGTTGGGGAATCTGTAATATGAACATAGTGGCATTCAGTTAGAATGCGTTCATTCCTATGTATAGCAGATATAAGCTATAAGGTTGGGTTCCTTTTAACCTTCTGTGGTGTAGTGGTAGCGCCTTGACTTAGTAATCATAAGTCCTAGGTTCGAGTCCCGGTCGGGGTAAAAAAAAAAAAATGATTCATGTTTTCACATATGTAATGTGCTATTTGATTATTTCATGGCCCAAATGAGATTGGGAATCGAATTAAATGCTAAAATGAAGCCACGAGTGAGGTTGGGGAATCTGTAATATGAACATAGTGGCATTCAGTTAGAATGCGTTCATTCCTATGTATAGCAGATATAAGCTATAAGGTTGGGTTCCTTTTAACCTTCTGTGGTGTAGTGGTAGCGCCTTGACTTAGTAATCATAAGTCCTAGGTTCGAGTCCCGGTCGGGGTAAAAAATGATTCATGTTTTCACATATGTAATGTGCTATTTGATTATTTCATGGCCCAAATGAGATTGGGAATCGAATTAAATGCTAAAATGAAGCCACGAGTGAGGTTGGGGAATCTGTAATATGAACATAGTGGCATTCAGTTAGAATGCGTTCATTCCTATGTATAGCAGATATAAGCTATAAGGTTGGGTTCCTTTTAACCTTCTGTGGTGTAGTGGTAGCGCCTTGACTTAGTAATCATAAGTCCTAGGTTCGAGTCCCGGTCGGGGTAAAAAATGATTCATGTTTTCACATATGTAATGTGCTATTTGATTATTTCATGGCCCAAATGAGATTGGGAATCGAATTAAATGCTAAAATGAAGCCACGAGTGAGGTTGGGGAATCTGTAATATGAACATAGTGGCATTCAGTTAGAATGCGTTCATTCCTATGTATAGCAGATATAAGCTATAAGGTTGGGTTCCTTTTAACCTTCTGTGGTGTAGTGGTAGCGCCTTGACTTAGTAATCATAAGTCCTAGGTTCGAGTCCCGGTCGGGGTAAAAAATGATTCATGTTTTCACATATGTAATGTGCTATTTGATTATTTCATGGCCCAAATGAGATTGGGAATCGAATTAAATGCTAAAATGAAGCCACGAGTGAGGTTGGGGAATCTGTAATATGAACATAGTGGCATTCAGTTAGAATGCGTTCATTCCTATGTATAGCAGATATAAGCTATAAGGTTGGGTTCCTTTTAACCTTCTGTGGTGTAGTGGTAGCGCCTTGACTTAGTAATCATAAGTCCTAGGTTCGAGTCCCGGTCGGGGTAAAAAATGATTCATGTTTTCACATATGTAATGTGCTATTTGATTATTTCATGGCCCAAATGAGATTGGGAATCGAATTAAATGCTAAAATGAAGCCACGAGTGAGGTTGGGGAATCTGTAATATGAACATAGTGGCATTCAGTTAGAATGCGTTCATTCCTATGTATAGCAGATATAAGCTATAAGGTTGGGTTCCTTTTAACCTTCTGTGGTGTAGTGGTAGCGCCTTGACTTAGTAATCATAAGTCCTAGGTTCGAGTCCCGGTCGGGGTAAAAAATGATTCATGTTTTCACATATGTAATGTGCTATTTGATTATTTCATGGCCCAAATGAGATTGGGAATCGAATTAAATGCTAAAATGAAGCCACGAGTGAGGTTGGGGAATCTGTAATATGAACATAGTGGCATTCAGTTAGAATGCGTTCATTCCTATGTATAGCAGATATAAGCTATAAGGTTGGGTTCCTTTTAACCTTCTGTGGTGTAGTGGTAGCGCCTTGACTTAGTAATCATAAGTCCTAGGTTCGAGTCCCGGTCGGGGTAAAAAATGATTCATGTTTTCACATATGTAATGTGCTATTTGATTATTTCATGGCCCAAATGAGATTGGGAATCGAATTAAATGCTAAAATGAAGCCACGAGTGAGGTTGGGGAATCTGTAATATGAACATAGTGGCATTCAGTTAGAATGCGTTCATTCCTATGTATAGCAGATATAAGCTATAAGGTTGGGTTCCTTTTAACCTTCTGTGGTGTAGTGGTAGCGCCTTGACTTAGTAATCATAAGTCCTAGGTTCGAGTCCCGGTCGGGGTAAAAAATGATTCATGTTTTCACATATGTAATGTGCTATTTGATTATTTCATGGCCCAAATGAGATTGGGAATCGAATTAAATGCTAAAATGAAGCCACGAGTGAGGTTGGGGAATCTGTAATATGAACATAGTGGCATTCAGTTAGAATGCGTTCATTCCTATGTATAGCAGATATAAGCTATAAGGTTGGGTTCCTTTTAACCTTCTGTGGTGTAGTGGTAGCGCCTTGACTTAGTAATCATAAGTCCTAGGTTCGAGTCCCGGTCGGGGTAAAAAATGATTCATGTTTTCACATATGTAATGTGCTATTTGATTATTTCATGGCCCAAATGAGATTGGGAATCGAATTAAATGCTAAAATGAAGCCACGAGTGAGGTTGGGGAATCTGTAATATGAACATAGTGGCATTCAGTTAGAATGCGTTCATTCCTATGTATAGCAGATATAATCTATAAGGTTGGGTTCCTTTTAACCTTCTGTGGTGTAGTGGTAGCGCCTTGACTTAGTAATCATAAGTCCTAGGTTCGAGTCCCGGTCGGGGTAAAAAAAAAAAAAAAAAAAAAAAAAAAAATGATTCATGTTTTCACATATGTAATGTGCTATTTGATTATTTCATGGCCCAAATGAGATTGGGAATCGAATTAAATGCTAAAATGAAGCCACGAGTGAGGTTGGGGAATCTGTAATATGAACATAGTGGCATTCAGTTAGAATGCGTTCATTCCTATGTATAGCAGATATAAGCTATAAGGTTGGGTTCCTTTTAACCTTCTGTGGTGTAGTGGTAGCGCCTTGACTTAGTAATCATAAGTCCTAGGTTCGAGTCCCGGTCGGGGTAAAAAATGATTCATATATATATATATATATATATATATATATATATATATATATATATATATATATATATATATATATATATATATATATATTTTATATATATATATATATATATATATATATATATATATATATATATATATATATATATATATATATATATATATATATATATATATATATATATATATATATATATATATATATATATATATATATATATATATATATATATATATATATATATATATATATATATATATATATATATATATATATATATATATATGTATATGTATATGTATATGTATATGTATATATATATATATATATATATGTATATGTATATATATATATATATATATATATATATATATATATATATATATATATATATATATATATATATATATATATATATATATATATATATATATATATATATATATATATATATATATATATATATATATATATATATATATATATATATATATATATATATATATATATATATATATATATATATATATATATATATATATATATATATATATATATATATATATATATATATATATATATATATATATATATATATATATATATATATATATATATATATATATATATATATATATATATATATATATATATATATATATATATATATATATATATATATATATATATATATATATATATATATATATATATATATATATATATATATATATATATATAATATACATATACATATACATATACATATACATATACATATACATATACATATACATATACATATACATATACATATACATATACATATACATATACATATACATATACATATACATATACATATACATATACATATACATATACATATACATATATATATATATATATATATATATATATATATATATATATATATATATATATATATATATATACATATACATATACATATACATATACATATACATATACATATACATATACATATACATATACATATACATATACATATACATATACATATACATATACATATACATATACATATATATATATATATATATATATATATATATATATATATATATATATATATATATATATATATATATATATATATATATATATATATATATATATATATATATATATATATTAGCAGTAAACTTTCTTGTATACATAGTTTGTTGAATATGACCGTTGTTTTTGCATTTGCAATTTTCTTGTTTAGCTTTTCAAAATTTCTTTCAATAACTTTTTCATTATTGTTGAGACTATATAAAACGTCGGAAAAAGTAAGAGAATTCATACGTTTCGTACAGCTTCGTACATTGTCAATTGATTATCTATTTAGTAGTGGATGGAGGTTATATATGATATGTAATTTCCACCTTTTCTTTATATTCACCACAAAGATTCAGTATCTCTGCGAAGTTTCCAGAGTTGCTGGAGGATGGACCCCAAGCATTCTTATCTCTGGCCTCTGCTCTTTACTTTCAGAGTTGGCAGAGTAATACAATTAGGCGTTTGCACATTCATAGAAAGATCTAACTTATGTTTGTATAGAGCTTACATATATATATATATATATATATATATATATATATATATATATATATATATATATATATATATATATATATATATATATATATATATATATATATATATATATATATATATATATATATATATATATATATATATATATATATCTATATATATATCATATACATATACATATACATATACATATACATATACATATACATATACATATACATATACATATACATATATATATATATATATATATATATATATATATATATATATATATATATATATATATATATATATATATATATATATATATATATATATATAACCTAATAAGCACAGTACATATGTGAAAACATGAGTAATTTCTATCCTAACCAGGACTTGAACCTAGGACTTATAATTACTAATCCAAGGCGATACCAACTGCACCACAAAAGGT